CCAGGAATTCCCTCAGGGTCCCCTGTCACCCCCGGGGACCCCCTTGCCGTGCCCCAAAACCCCTCAGAGCCCCTCAGGACTCCGCCATTCCCAGAGCCGAGCCTTCCAACGCCTTCGCTCCCGAGGAGCGGCACAAAACCCCCGGGAATTGGGGAAAAGCGCGCTGGGAAAGGTCAAACCCGCCTGAACCGGGCCCCGTGAGGGGCCTGAGGGGGCAGAGCGAGGCCACAGCACCGGAACCGGGGAGGCCGCGCAGCCTCGGGCCGCCCTCAGCGCGTCCTCCCCTCACGGCGAGCGGGCCCCGTGAGGGGCGGGAGCGGCCCGGGCCTAACGGGGGCGGGCTGGGCCTAACGGGGGCGGGCTCCGTCCGCCACAGCGGCGCGGCCCCGCCCGGCTGCTCGGGCACCGCCGCCGCCGTCCCGGGCTTCACTCACCGCGGGCCGGGCCGGGCCGGGCCGGCGCTGCCGCCGCGCAGGAGCCGCCGCCGCTTCCTCCCGGTCCGCGACAAAATGGCGGCGGCAGGAAGTGCCCCCCGCGCGCCGGCCCCGCCCCGCGCTACGCCAACGGCGTAGGGCGGCCCCGCCCGCGCCGCGCACGCCCGCCGCTACGCAAACGGCGTAACGCCGCGCCGGGACTCCCGTACGCCAACGGCGTAATGCGGCGGTAAACGGCGCTTACGCAAACAGCGCAGCGCGGCCCCGCCCGCCCCGCCCCGCGCCGTACGCAAACGGCGTAACCCCGGCGGCGCAGGGCGGAGGGCGCTCCGCCGCGACCCCCGCGCCCCCCGGAGCCCCCGCACCGCGCGGTAACGGCGGCCAGGCCGCGCATCCCCCGCCGGCCGCACCGGGAGGCGGCGGAGACAGCGGCGGGCAGCGTGAAACGCGGCGGCGAGCGGCGCTTGCGCCAGCGGCGCCCCCGCCTTTACGGCGTTGGCGCAGCGGCGGGGCCCGCGCCGCAGTTTACGCCGCTGGCGTAGCCGCCCTGACGCAGCGGCCGCATTACGCAATGCGGGTTACGCCGGCGGGGCGACGTAAGCGGCGTTGGTGAATCGCGGCACCCCCATGAAGCCCACCCGGTGTCCCCGCTTCCTCCTCCCGGTTCCCCTCAGCACCGGCGGCGCCCCCCGGCCCGGCCCGGCCCTCCCGGCGCCCCCCGCGGCCCCGCTCTTACCTGAGGGGGGCCGGGCCGGGCCGGGCCGGGCTGGGCCGGGCTGAGCCGCCCTCCCTCCCTCCCTCCCTCCCGGCGGGCCGGGGGCGGCGGCGGGGGCGGAGGAGGAGGAGGAAGAGGAGGAGGAGGGAGGGGAGGGGGCGGGGGGGCCGCGGGCACCGAGGGGCAGCGGGTCCGGCAGCGGCGCCGCACTGACCTCACCGCGCTGCGCGTGACGTCACGGCGCAGCGGGACACGCCCACCGGCGCCGCCGGCCCCGCCGCGTGACGTCACGGGAGGGGAGCGGGGAGGGGGCGAGAACCGGGGGACACCGGGACGGGGGGAGGGGACAGC